TAATATCATGCCTTTTGAATTGAAAAATTTCTAGATACATTCCAATATTTGATAAATGATATTTTTTGAGAATTCAAAGATAAGCTTATTATCTATTATCTTGATGATATCTTTATCTACTTCAAGACTCTTGAAGAATATGAAGAAGATGTGAGATTAATCTTGCAAAAATTACAAGATATAGGATTATATACCAAATTGGAGAAATATATATTCTATTAAGTAGAAGTGAAGTTTTTTGGATATATTATATCTAATGAAGGCTTATTAATGGACCCAAAGAAAGTTTAAGCCATAAAAGAGTGAGAAATTCCAAAGACAATACAAGATGTAGAATATTTTTCTAAATTTGTTAATTTCTATCAAATATTTATCAAGAATTACTCCCAAGTTGCTTCTCCTTTCATTCAATTGACATCCAAAGACAAATTGGAGTTAAAATCTCATACTCAAAAGACTTTTCAAGATTTGAAAATAACTTTTATTATAGTTCTAATCTTAATGCATTCAGATTTCATGAAGGCCTTCTTTTTGGAGATTGATGCTTCTAACTTTATACCAAAATTTGTACTGTCATTGATAGAAAAAGATAAAAAATTCCATTCAATTGCATTCTATTTTAAAAAGTTTTCAACTATGGAGATCAATTATGAAATTTGTGATAAAGAGCTTCTTTGAATTGTAGATTCTTTCCAAGAATGAAATCACTTATTGAAAAATGCTACACATCTTGTGGTTGTATATATAGATAAAAAAAACTTGGAGTATTCTATATCGGCTCAAGTTTTGAATTATTATCAAGTTCATTGAAATATACTATTATTTCATTTTGATTTTATGATTATATATTGACTAAAAAAGTAGCAAATACTATCAAATACTTTATCAAGAAAATAATAATTTGCTTCAAAGGCCTAAAAAGCAGCATTTAATCAATAATATACCATTTTCTTGAAGCTAAAATAATTGTCTTTATGCTATATCTATAGTTACACGTGTTGAATCAAATTTCTTAAACAAATTTGTATAGTGTTAGCTAAGGACTTATTAGTTTGTAATATCAACCAATGCCTTAATAACAACAAGTTTAAATTTGTGGAAGATCTTTTGTATTATAAAGATCCTTAATGTATTCTAAAAAAATTGATGCAACTTCATATTCTTCAATCTCGTCATGATTTCCTAGTTGCAAGATATTTTGGATTTAATAAAATATTGGAACTCATTTCTCAAGGTTTTTGGTGGCCTCAAATGTAGAAGACCATGAAGAACTTTGTTCTCTCATGTAACATTTGTTTAAGCTCCAAGAATTCTTATCATCATCTTTATGGACTTCTACAACTACTATCAATTTCAAAGCAACCATGGTCTTTAGTATCAATTGATTTCATCATTGGTCTACCACCATCAACTACATTTGATGCGATCTATGTTATTATGGATCAAATTACAAAGATGGCACATTTTTTTCCATGCAAAAACGTAATTTTCAGAGAAAAAATGAGAAGGCTCTTCTTGATAATACATATTGATATTATAGCTTATTTGATGACATCATTTTTTTTTATTAAGAACCTCAATTTATATCAAAGTTTTAGAATTTTTTATTTGAAATATTAAAGATGGATATCAATCTTTCTTCTGCCTTCCATCTTCCAAACCAATGGTCAGATAAAATAAGTTAATCAAGTTTTAGAATAGTATTTATAATGTATAATCAACTATCAACAAGATAATTTGATCTTATATTTATCTTAATCAAAGTTTGCTTATAATAATATTCTTTATGTTTTGATTTAATAAATATTATTTTATGCCAATTATGGTTATCATCCAAAGCTTGATTTATTACATATACTAAAAGATGAAAATTTAGCCGTTGAAGATCTTGCAAAATAATTGTCATAGCTCTAGACAACTTTAAAGTTCCATTGAGAAGCAACTCAAGATTCTTATAAAGCATCTTCAAAAAAAAATTAAAAAAAATCTCCTACTTTTTAAATTAGAAATAAAATATGGCTTCTTTGACAAAATATTAAGACCAATCAACATTGTGATAAGTTGGACTATCAAAGATTAAGGCGATTTTGTATTCAAAAGTAAATCAATTCAATGGCTTATTGATTGGAATTATCTACATCCATGAAGGCACATCCAATCTTTTATCTTTTTCTTTAAGAAGCTTATTCAAAATTAACTATTTTAAAAAGAATACAACTATCACTGCCTTGCATTTAAATTTATAATCATGTGGAATATGAGATAGAAAAGGTCCTTAATTTTTAGCAATGAAGATGTAAGTTGGAATATTTTATTTATTGGCATGGCTACAATATCAATGAACGTATATAAGAACTAGTAGAAAAACTAATTAATGTGCCACAAAAGATATAGGAGTTTCATTGATGTTATTTTCAAAAATTTAATCTATTTTAGAATTACTTTTCTATGAAGCTACTGCTAGAATATTATATATCTTTAAAAAAAAAAAAATATTACTCATAGCAATCTTAGAATTTAATTTATCTAATTTATGATCCAATATATTGAATTGAATAGTATTTAGAGAGTCTTTGTGTCATAAATCTTAAAGTATAGCTCACTGCTACCATATCAATCATTCCAACTCTTGCAATCTTTGTAAGATCATCTTTAAGATAAAGTTGGATCTTTCCAAGGGAGAAAATGCCATGCTACAATCAAGTCAAACATGAAAACCTTAAAGATGATGCTTAAGCTTTGATTATTTTATTGCAAATATGAAACTAATGTTCTTTATAGAAGTCAAAGTTAAAAGGAGAAGTGATATTAAAGACATCCAATAAAAATATTTTAAGAATATTTTAAAAATATGTTATTAGGTTGTATAAGGTTCTAAAAGTTTCTTAAAATATTTCAATAGAAGATTTTAAAAAGATTCATATAAAATTTTAAAAGGTTCTTAAAATATTCTAGCAAATTCTAAAAAATTCTTGGAAGATTAAAGAAGTTGCTCAAGAAGCTTCTTAGAGATGCTTCATCTTCAAGCAACATCAAAACTTCTTGAGAAGTTTTTTAGGATTACTTCATCTTTAAATAACATGAAAACTTCTTAAGAAGCTTCTTAGGACTACTTTGTTTTCAAGCAACATGAAAACTTTTTGAGAAATTTTTTAATACCTAGTATATATTAGAGTTGAAGTTGAAGGGATCCTCAATCTCGACAATATATCTCTTGGAGCTCTAATACATCCTTCTTCGTGTTGATCTTGTATACATTTGGTTTAATCAAATTCTTACTAATCTTTTTGTTGGAACTCTTTTGTTCAATTTCTTATACAATCTTCTATATAATGTATTTGTGATAGTTATATTTTTATAATAGTGTTTTACTTAATTAAAATATTATATTTTGAACTTTTTTATAAAAAAATTAATAATAAAAATATCAATATAATTCTTAAATAATAATCTTCATACATATGATGAATTTCCTATTGTTATTATATATTTTTAAAGTCCATCGTTGATACTAAAATAATAGAGAGATTTATTTAAGTATTAAAAATGGATATATATATATGTATATATATATATATAATTTAGATTTATGAATCATATATTAAAAAATAGTTGTATTGAACTATTAATTATTATTAAAATGATTAGATAATTTTTTTAATAAATATATTTTTATTTATTTATTTAATGGTAATCATCTACATTCTTCTATTCAAAATCACCATTTTTTTATTATTTATATCATTATATCTCCTAATTTTATATTTTATACTTTTTAAAAGTAAATAATTAAATTTTTATATAATAAAGAAGATAGAGCTAAAAAAATGCTTATGGATTATAATTATTCAATGCAATGTTTTTTTTTTTTAATAATAATTTTTTTATTTAAACTTAGTAATGAGACATAGTTATCTTGTTATTATATTAGTGCTAATCAATCTTATAAAAAGTTGATTTATCAAAGGCTCAGACCATCTTTTATCTAAATATATATTAAAAAAATAAAAAATAAAAAAATTGTATATTAGTTGCAATCACATGAGCCAATTCAAATCTATTATACCTTATATGCTTCTTTCATTAAACTATATTAAAGAACAAATATGTTAAGAATGAAACAATTACTACTACTTCTTATGAAAAAGGATAATATTCAAGAATTTGATGTAAAAGAAGTCAGGGATTTTGGACAATACAAAAATAAACTATAATACTTGATGGATTGATGCAAATATAATATTTATGATTACACACAAAAACAAAATGATAATGTTGCAAATAATAAATAAATAATTATTATATTCATTATTGCAGTTAATATGGTAACAATGATATTTAATTAAATTAAAGATAATATATTTTTATTAACAATACAATGGTATGTAGCAGAGAAAAACAAGACCAACAGTCACTCTTTTCAACAACTTTTTTCCAAATATTTTCTTTACAAAACAAATTTACCCACAATATTCAATAATTTGTACTATAGTTTTACTTTATTTTTTTTGTGTTTAGAAATCATTATTTATAAAAAATACATTTTTTTTTATGAATATATATGTACTTATAATAAATATATACTATACTACTATATAACACACACACACACACACACACACATATACTATAATAATCTATATATATAGAGAAATTAATGTTTTTTTTTTTTTTTTTTTTTTTTTGTTTGTTTGTGTGTTGGCCTCAGCATCTCATGTTCCAAATACTGCTGCCTAATCACTCAAAGAATAATACATTCCCCAAGAATACCTGATTGCCATTATTGGGATGCGGTCTCGCAATTTCCTTGGTGTTTCTATATCCCTTAATTATTTATTATATCATCGAGTTAAAGGCCTGGGAACGGTCTCCCCTTCGCAGGAACGGGCAGTTGCCGGTAGACCAGCTACGAAGGGCACGCGTTCCCGAAGGAATGGATCAAAACCCTAGACAGAGAGGCAGGTGGGGAGCGTGGAGGGAGCTGCCCAGCGCAGGAATCTATGTGCTCCCTGGTTGCCGCCCCCGTTTCGAGCTCTCCCGCCATAGCCACTCTCGGTGTGTGAGTGCTCCCCCTCGCTGCCCCACAACCTCGATTCCTCTTTTCCCACGTTTTCTTCAAGTTCTTCAAGCTCTGCAACGACTTGGGTTGCGAGGAGGTTTTTGGGGACTCTCTTTTTTTACTGAGGACCCGCATGGTTGCATTCTTCGTAACTGCTCAAGGTTTTTGATTCTTAAGGACTTCTTTTTTCTAGTTCTGAAGGTGGTAGGAGAAAGCGATGTCGACGCAGCTGAGAGTGTTGTCAAATTCGTAATTGAATGTAGGGTTTTTGGTTTTGTGATTTTATGTGGGTGTTGTCTTTGGGAGATAGTGCTATGAATCTTTGGGGTTTTTTTTCTTTATTTTTTTCTCTCCTGAATAAGTGGCGATGTCTGGATGCTACAGTTAGGTTATGCGAGTTGCGTAGTGAGGTCTTTGTATCCATAAGCAGGTTAGCTGCCGCACTCCCAGCACCTGCTCGACTTGGTCTGCTGGATTTGCAAGCTTTCGTTGCAATGTTCCTGTGTGACTATGCATTTGTGAAATTCACTGTTGGCCAGTGTAGCTGCTAGCGTTGTCTTTGGAAAAATACTTTATTTTTTAGGGCATATGAAGTGAAGAAGGAAATATTTGGCAGCTCTGAAGTAGTTCTACCTGCAGGCCAGTAGAGTTTTTCGCGTTTACTTCAATTGGAAACCGAAACGGTAGGAAAATTCTCCATTGTTGCTTTTTCACTCGGTCTCACGTACGCAATTGTCAGTGGTCATCGCTGTGGCATTTGTGCTGCTTTGAGCCCTTGTTGAGCATCTATGGTGATGACTTAATCCTTCGAGGACCAAGGGACCGGAAATAGTTCCGCCTTCTCTAAAAGAGTGTCACCTTAAACGGTTACACCTTAGGGATGCTGCGTATATTCCTATTATGATACGCAGAAGCCAGCTGTCTGATAGTTGTTCATGCAGCTCTCTTTAGAGCACAAAGAAATTAAGTGCATCGCTGTAGGCATCCTGCATGGTTGTACTCGAAATGTTAATAACTGCATGTACATATCCGTTCATATCTGTACATGGGGTTATTTGCTACAAGCCACATCCGCGACCATTTGAATGTGATCGAGAAATGCGTGCATGCGTTAAATAGCAAGACTTAAATGTCTAGGCTTGTTTATCCTTTGTTCACAGGGGTGCCACTGGGGTTAATTTCAGGTTTATGAAAGCACAGACGCTCGGGAAAGCATCTGGAATCGGCGATGGACGGACCACCATCTAGTGGGGCTTTTACGGGAGCAACATTAGCGGAGAAACTCAACAAGCTCAATGCTTCGCAACAAAGCATTGAAAGTATCCCTGCACGTTCATTAAAGTCGCATAGTCTTTACTTTGAATTCCGTTTTTACTGTGGATTCTCCCCCTAATATTGTACTTCTAGGTTTAGAAAATGGTTGCTCATTTCCTTGTGAAGTGCATTACGCTTGGAAACCTTCACTCGCTTCAGCTCTCTCCCATTGGTGCATATTTCACCGGAAAAAAGCAAAGGAAATTGTGGATACATGGGCTTCAAAATTTCACGAGGCCCCCAAGGAGCAGCGTGTACCTTTCTTATATCTGGCAAACGACATTCTGCAGAATAGCCGGCGGAAAGGTCCCGAGTTTGTGAATGCATTTTGGACTGTACTGCCTGCAGTTCTCCGTGACGTACTCGACTCTGGAGATGAATCAGTTCGTAATCCAGCGTACCGCCTGGTATGCAGAACAGCTGGAATGTTGACATTTAAGTTCCTTAGAAGTTCCAAGTTCCTTACATTGTTCTATTTTTGGAGGATATGCTTGCTCAACTCTGTTGTGTTCTGGGTTGAAGGTGAGCATTTGGGAGGACAGGCGGGTATTTGGTTCGCGTGGTCAGAGTCTTCGTGAAGAATTGCTCGGGAAGAGGCTCCAGTCACCGAAGCAGCAGCCTAAGCAGTCCTCACCAAATTATCAGGTGCGAGTTTTGCTTGTGACGTACGCCTGCCTGCTTTTTATCGCTTTCAGCGAATATAAATCCTAGTATACTTCTTCCATCAGCATATTTGTTCTGTTATTCTGGAATTCCCTCCAAATTGACGATTGCTTTGAACTAACTGTGTTGCGAGGCTGTAGAGTTTTGAAGGGACCTTACTCGAGAGGGTGGCAAGATCATATCAAGCCGCCCATGAAAAGTCTGTGGACGAGTATGGGGCTGTCTCGAAGTGCAATGAAGCTTTGTCGATGGTTGTGAACTTGGAGAAAGAAGCTGAAGCTGCTGGCGGCAATGGTATTTGGTTAACATCATACTGTTGAGTTCTTCTTTTCGGGTTGTTGTATGTGCGTGAAAGAGAAATGATTACTTTTTTCCGGACAATCCGTTTGTTAGTGAGGTGACACTGATTATGAGTATCTTACACTCTTGTGATGTTACGTTTGTAGCTCACATGGTATCAACTTGTCTGTAAGGTTTGGTGGTCCACTTGATAACTACATTTATATTTATGAGGATGGGCTTCGACTGAAATTTGAGAAGTTATTTCTTCTTCTCTTGTTTATTGGTTTAGCTATATGTTTATACCATTTGGCAGGCGATATGCAAGCCTCAGTGTCTGAAGAGTTGCTGGAACAAGAGCTGGTTATGCGGCAGTGTGTAGAACAGCTCGAATCGTGTGAGAGGAGCCATGCCATGCTATGTTCTGATTTGAAAGATGCTCTGCATGTACAGGTACTACATTACTTCTGCCAAAGAGGGTGTGGGTGGTCAGATTTCCAGTTGCAGTTCTTTTCATTTTCACTCATGAATGTTAATCGTTTATGTGCCAAGGATCTCATGTGAAGGTATCTGATGATGGCTAATACTGGCTGCTGGCTTGGATTCGATCAGTATAGCTATGTTTTCAGGGGTGAAAGTGGTAGTTGACATTAAACGAGTGTCTATTTGTATCTACTAGTGTTTAGTCAGTTCATTTTATTAACTATGCACAGTACATGTATGTTACAGGAGAATAAGTTGGAGCAGATTCGGGCACAACTTCAGGTATTTTTATTCAATTCTTTCCTATATGATGTTTGAACCCATGTAGTGCTTTGTAACTGAGTGATTTCAGCATGCAATGTGACGTCGAGAATGTCGATCTAAATTTTTGGAATTATTGGACTTGTTTACAGACAGCACAGTCTCAGCTGCAACAGACCAAAAATGTGCAGCAACGTTTGGCTTCTGGGATCACAAGTGATATCGACTTTCCTGTCGGAGGAGCACCAACCGTTGGATCTGTTGAAGAGGGATCTGCAAGTCAAGAACATGACAATCTAGCATCGAGGGACATGGACACGGAAACCCATATTTCAATGTCAAGTGGATCAGGAACCACTAACAATCCCACAGTTAACGAACTTTCTGCAGAGCCGACGGAGACGAGCCAAGCTCCAACCTCAGCTTTAAGCACTGCTGCCGAGATTGCGGCCAAGTTAGCAGCCAGCTCATCATCAGCCGCCATGCTAACATCAGTATTATCATCATTGGCAGCAGAAGAAGCAGGCAATGGATTGCATTCACCAAATTTCAACATGGATGGGGCGCAGAAGAGGCCAAGGTTGGAAAATCATGTTGACCAGCTACCAGCTCCTGCACCTGTTCCCTACCAGCTGCCCCCGCAATTGTCTCAATTTCTTCAAGCCAACCCCATGATGCCTCCAGGTTACACCTTTCAAACAGCGATGCCCCCGCCTCCCATGCAGAACCACATGATGCTGACTCAGCATTCAATGGGACCACCTCCACCCCCTATGCCCCCAAGTTGCAATCCCATTTATCAATTCCAGCAGCAGCCCTCCCCGTACTACAGCCCCCCTCCACTTCCTGCTCCACCGGCTCCTGCTCCTAGACAGTGAGTTTGTTTTTGGGTAGTAGTCACACTGATTTCGCATTGTACTTGTGTCTGAATGTAATGTAACTTGGATCAATAGCGTGTGCTTTGTTTTTCCCTCACCTTTTATTTCGAGGCTTGGCAGATTTGTATAGCTTTTTTGTACTTATGAAATCTATTCTTATGGAATTTTAAGTGATATTTCAGTTTAAGCAATCAAAATCTAGAATAAAAGGTGATAAATACATGTACACATGAAAGTATGTAAGGGAATGGATGGAGTCTTCGATTTTGCATCGATGTTAAGGCACCGTTATTATTGTTGACAAACAAATGTGGATGGCAGGGTTTTACTTATAAACCAACCATATTGTTATGACTTGATTAACTACTTGATGGTTTTGTATATCCATTATTATGTATTGTGTACATTCAAATTCCATCACCACAACTTTGAAATTGTTACGTGGTATGTTTACAGACACCTTCATGTTTCCATGCTAGTTCTTTTAATCGAACATTTAGAAAATTATCTTTGTGCATAGAGTAAAACAGTAACTCCTACATATTTGTGTTTGTTATTCTATTTTATATGTGAAGTCTTCATTTTACATTGAATCTTTATGCCATTTTGAAGGCTGATATATGCATTCAATTTTCAATATACTTCTATTTGAACAGTTTAATAGTTGTTTTAGACATACAAGTTTATGCTCAAATGGTTTAAGAACTTGCTTCAATCTTGAAAACTTATGTGTTCTACTTTATGCATCTTACTTAAATTTCTTTTGAAATATATATATATATATATATATATATATATACATATACATAATCTTCAAAAACTTTAACAAAAACATATTGAGGCACTTGTAATTAAATGTTTTGGTGTGCAACAATTGTTTTTGAAAACAAATATTGCTATTTTAAAAAAACTTTCTTATCTTATATAAATCTGTCTACTAATTTTATTTTTTTTGCTTGATGACAAAATAGTTATGTTCTAATCTATCCTACTTTATTTTTGTACTTATCATTTGTTTATGGCCCTTATTGACTATCAAATGATTCTTATAACTTACTTAAATATCAACAAACTTTATAACAACATTGATTTGGCTTAGGCTACAAGCATACTTTAAGTTGCTATATATACATCCCAAACTGCTATATATATATATATATATATATATCCAAGCAAAATGGAGGCCTTTAATTGGGTAGTTGTTTGTTATGTGGAGTATGACATCTAGAGACGGGGTTAATGAGCAGCAACCTTATGAGGGTTTTTGGAAGCAAAGCTCTTGGAAGAAAAAATTTGAACTTGAACTTTGTATGGACTAAGTGATTTTATAACCTCAATGATCTTCTTTGGAACCCTACCCTTGCAAATTATGTATCTCTCATTGTGTCATTTTCACTTCTTTGCCCCAACTCCCTTCTTCTCTCTCTTCTTTTGTCTCTTTTTTACTCTTTGCACTTTTTATCTCTTTTATAATGAACCTTCTCCCCCAAGTCTTAAAAAACATGTACAATTCATGAAAAGAGTTGCTCAAAGACATCCATGTGCACCGAGTAGATTGTGGCTATGCTATTATGATTAAGCACTCAAAGAAAGGTTGGCATGTGTGGTATTGTTGTGACCACAACAATGGCTACAAAAGCACCATTTCTAAACCTTGGCAAAAGCAAGAGAGGTCAATTCAAAAAAACAATTGCTTATTTAAGATTATTGCTTATACATCCTTGAGTGGCTCTTTTAGTAAATTGTACATTTTTTTGAATTTGGTGTGAGAAGACTTATTATTAAAGAGAGGGAGAGAGCAAGAGAAAAAAAAAAAAAAAAAAAAAAAAAAAAAGACTTAAAAAAAAGAGCAAAGAAGAAAGAGAGCAATAGGGAGTCAAGGCAAAGAAAAAGCGAAAGATGCAAAGAGAGACATAATTTGCAAGTCTAGGGTTCTAAAAAAGAAATATCAAGATTATAGAATTACTTGGTCCAAACAAAGTTTAAATTCAAATTTTTCTTTTGGGGTTCTACTCCCCAAAAGCCTTATACATGAGCTTGCCCCTTGACCTTGCTAGGTGGCATCAAGCTCCATACAACAAACAAGCCATACATCAAATTCAAATCAAGCCTTTGATTTATTTTATTTTATTTTAAAAAAAAAAATAGCCTTAAACAATAGCCTTAAGCTAGGTTGCATGCATTGTGTAAGTTTATATAAAAACAATAGATAACAAAATTCCTTTGCTGTATTGCAAAAGATATGGAACTCCCCTAAAAATAACCAATAATAGAACTTAAGAACTAAATTGCAAGTAACTAATTTTCTGTAATATGGAACCCCACAATTTTATTCCATGCAAGAATCAGTACACCTTTAATGACAAATATATCATTTTCTATTTGCAAGACCAGTTCATGAGCCTGAAAACATGGGCAAGAAGAAACATAATTGGTAGGAAGTAGTAACTGTTTGGGAGAGGTTGCTAAGTGTCACAACTTGCAGATTTGTTTTACTAAATGATTCCTACGAGGCTACCATCAGCTATCGAATTTATTTTTGTTTTTGTTTTTGGAATTCTCCATTTTTTTTTTTTTTCTGTTTATTGATAACACTTAGTGCCATTAAATGTCTGTACAATCATGTACATGTCAATTTGCTAAGTGTCATCAATAAACAGAAAAAAAAATCGATTGTTTTCTTCAGTGAAGAAATACTAAGGGAGTGTGATGTTTATCAACTGGTTTAAACTTAAGAAGGTTGCTGTTAAATATCTGACGTGTTTAGGCTACAACTACTGTTTAATGAGAAGAAATTATTGAAGAGGAAATTCATCACACCCACCTTGTTGAGTTCTTGAATCAACTGACGCCAACCTTAAATACTATTCCTGTAGAACGGATGCATTACAAACCATCCATTCTGATACATCAGTGCAGTTGGCACTTCCAATATTAACTTTATGTCAAACAGAAGTGGCATCATGCAGATACTTTCAAATGAAAGTTGCGCTAATACATACTTACTCTTCCAAATGACATATCAGCACTAAATCCCAGCTATTCGTGTAGAGTGGAAAACACTTAGTTACAAAAGTGGACCAGTTTCACAAAGGTTGTGGCGACCGTTGCGATCTACTTTGCTTCCAATATTCTTAATTAGTGGAAATTGCAGCAAAAGCTCAAATTAGGACGGCGACAAAAACTACAGATGGTAGGTTCAACCTTCACATCTGCTTCTGTACATCCTAAAATGGTTTACTCTCCCAGAAAAAGCTTAGATGCCAGTGACTTTTTTCAAAACTGCTCGAAGATGGGGTTGCTGGTCATGACCATGAATGCCCATCTCCACTGTGTACATCAACTCGTCTCCTTTCACTTCGAACACACGCCCAATACTCAAAACCTGCATGCCAACTAAAAATGAGTTGACCAGAAGAATGTTCAAAGTCTAATTAATACTCTCCAGAGTTGTAAAAATATTACGACGAATTCAATTACATGAACGACATCTGCAGTTGTGTGCCTAGTTCAATAGTTATGATAGGGCAGCTCTCTGTGAACTAAGCGGCAGTCCAAAAGATCAACTGACAATCTCGGTGGGGAAATGCACATATCCCGTCGTAAGGACACTTATAGGAACTAACCTTCGAAGCATTACACACTGCATCACTCTGTAGTTGCACCATCTTCCTCTCCGCATCGTAGATTCCTTTCTGGATAAAGAAACGACCATGAAAAAGGCATACAAGATCAGCAGTATTTAAAAATAGATATTGATGTAGTCAACCCCTTATCCCAAAATCGTCTAGGTAGACACATTTAGAACGTTAAGAGTTAAAAGATTCTGTCTATAAACACGGCACCAAGCACCTCCCAGCACTTCATGAAAGTGAGAATTCGGTTAAAAACTATATGGAAGAAAATGAACCATGAAGCGCATTAATGTTTCTAATAACAAACTTTAAACTGGAGTATGGTTTCATGCCTGAACTTCAGCCAACCCGGTGCTTTGTGCGATGATGACTTCTATGGAGCCATCAGGCTTGGGACGCCAGTATCCACTCTCTGCGTGCATAGGCTCTCCTGATGCTGCTTTCCACGTTTTCTGCGAGTATGCAATCACCGGCTGCACCAAAACACGTCTCAGCATAACGAGAAATCAGAATAAGCAGAGAGTCCAAAAACCCAATTCACCAACGCCGTTGAATGCTTAGAACGTTACCGCTCTCACTTAGCTAACCACCATGAGACAAGCAACGACGCTGTGCTGTAAACACGTATTTCTATAGTAACAAGCATTTCATTTAAATAAATGCAGCGTCGACAATGCCTCTGAACTCTACATAATTAACAGGATGATCTGAACGGTGAGCTTAACAAATCGCTCTGACTCACTCTCGTATCAACTGAAACATTCAACAACACAACTCAATTTAAGTGGGGCATTACATTCTCTCTTGTGTAAAATGTACTTGGTAACAGCAACCATTCCAATCACAGGCACGTTCATAAAATTTGCTCTTACGTATGGAAAAAGAAACACAAAACCTACGCCGCCCATGACTTAGAACTAATTTCTGCTCGTCGATTAACTTCATTGTTTTCAAAACCAAAATCCAAACATCGTTTCCACTCAATATGTTCTCTAACCTAGGAACTTTTGTCCACACACAACCCACGTCACATTCGAAATATATAGGCACCTGCTTCAATTGTCTTCCTTCGCTAGAAGAGTCTCGAGAAGGACCACAACATACTTCACGTCTCAATCCTACAATCCATCTGATTACGAGAGAAAAAGGGTCTAGTTAAGACGATTCACCTTGCCGGAATGCCATAGCTTGATCTCCTCACCATACTTAAACGACTGGATTGTAGGGAAACCACCTTCGCCCTGACCCCGCCAGGTGCCGAGAAGAAACGACAACGGCTGCAGCACCGGGTGCAAAGGGGGAGGATTACCTTCCGCCATGGCTGCTGGGATATCAGCTTGTTATCCTCGGCTTTCCACAACGGGGCTCCTCGTCAATGGCGCGACGAGCAGACAAACAATTTTCTATTCAGCGACAGTCGATGCACTATCCGCCGAGCTTACCATCCAACCACGTCCTCTTGGGTGGCTAAAAAAAACCCAACTTAAAAGAGAACTGGTTTAAATTCCACCACATTGGACTGCGGCTTCAGTATGCCACGAGCCCTTGCAATTTGCAGCAGCAGAACGGCACTTGTCCATCACTGCAAGTCTGTTCCAGTCAATGAATGTAGCTAAATCAGCAGCATAATTCGGACTCCAGGTCTCATGCGGCTCCGATGGAAAGATGCTGTGAAAATTGAGCGGGAGCAGCGGAAAGTGATCGCAGTCCAGAAAAAGGAGGCCCCCCGTGCGATTTGGCAGGACATCCGCTTCACCTCTTGAATGGATGATGGTGGATGAGAGAAACCCTCCCCTATTTTAGTGATCTTTGCGCATTTCGAGATGCCGAAGAAGCATGTGGGAAATGGGAAATCGAACTGGGTTTTTTTTAGTTTTCTTAATATAATCTACTGTTTCCATGGGGCTTGTGGAGCTTGTGGACTACTTTCATCAGGTTTGAGTCCATGGGTTTCTCCCCGAGAGCTCCGTGTGGGGAATTGTGTTGTTCTAGAATTATGTTGTTCGAGAAATGCACGTAGCACGCACGCAGACGTACATGGCGATGGAAAGACGATTTTCTGGCTTCCGTCTGTTATTATTTTTCTTTATTGGTGTTATTTGTTTCTTATGAATTGAAGTTCACTGCTGCAATCAAAGCTTGAGCTCACTTTTGCAGGCGCTCAGATGCCTCCACGTTCGTAGCCAAAAGCTCGGACAGAGCCCGCCTTCCACACAGAAGAGCCACCTGGAAAAGGAAACCCAGTGTGCTGCTTCTGCACGTCTCGCAAGCCTCTTCCGTCCCTCGCATCTCCTTATTCCAGTGCCCCCGAAAGCCTCCTCTCGCTCTGGCCCTATGCCATCAATCTCATCAAAGCCTTAGCCTAATCTTAATGCCCTGGTTTCTTGTCCACCACATTTACCTTGCCTTGCCTCACCCGTCATCTCGTTGACATTCTCTTTACTGATTCTTTTTGTTGCCCTGGGGTTCATTTCTTACTGGATCCTGTCACTGTAAGTATTGGAAGGTATTTTTGATACAATTTTGACGCTCTTGGCGAGGTGTTGTCGAGGTTTTGTGGAGTTCGTCTCGGAGAGTGCTCGGATCAAAAAGTTCGTGATTTCTTCTTCGTTGTGCCTGATGTTGCGAACTGGGTGTTGCGCGTATCTTCTTGATGGAAATCACCATTGATTTGGCATCGCAGGCTAATGTGTTTTCCTTTGGCGCGAATGGAATTAGGAAGGTGGATTTTGGGCGTTGCTGCTGCTGCTGCTGACGCTGCCGCTCCTGGGCAAATCTTAAAAAGTCTTTGGGCGCGTACGAGACGTAGTGTGTTTTAATTTGCTCAGCTCACATGAAGAGATTAATATCACACAAGGACCATGAGCCTACCTCATACACCGAGGAGGAAGCCAGGGTACTCGTCAACGGCTTGTGCTCACACTCTTCTGCTGTTGTGTCTTCGCATTCACCTCTGTTGAATTTTTGGAACGTTTTTCTTGGATCGTGTGGGTAGCTTTTGATAATCTATCAGGGCGGGCGTCCATCAGCTTCATACCAACATATAAGCTCACTGTCTCAAGAAACATAAGGCTTTGGACCCGTGTATCTGGTGCCTACTGATATGATTTAATAGGACGTAGAACTACTGGTAATTGAGAAATTTAGTCCCAGCATTGTAATTTCTAATGCTCAATTTACATGCCCTCTTAGAAGAAGGAACACACATCAACAAGATTTTGGCGTTCTCTTTGGATTTACGTGGGTTGTTAGTTTTAAGGTCAATTCTGTCTCAGTTTTGGATGAGGACATGCCAACTGGGTTTTCAGGTCAATGATTTGAGGACAGCGTTGGGACCACTTACTGGACGCGCATTACAATATGCTACAGATGATTGCCTCAGGCGGTATCTTCGCGCCCGTAATTGGAACGTCAAGAAAGCAGAGAAGATGCTGCAAGAATCATTAGCATGGCGAGCATCGTTTAAGCCAGACGAAATCCGTTGGGTATGTCCACGCTGAAGTTGCTCTGTTCTCAACATCTTAACCGTTGGGTAGAGGGTTTGCTGTAGTTGATCTTTTCAAGATAATGTTTCCAAATGAACAAACAATCTGGTTGGAGATGCGCGTGTCAGAACCAGCGCTATCGAAGTGAATGGCGTCTCGAATGTTTCATGTGCAGGAGGATGTTGCCGGCGAAACGGAGACGGGTAAAGTATATAGAGCGGTTTGTAAAGACAAACAGGGACATTCCGTCTTAATTTTGCGCCCGGCAAAACAGGTGAGCATGTGCAGAAGCTTGGAGGTTTAACTGTAGATTCTTTACATTGTTGAAAAAAGTGGTGTTTAGGTCGCAAAATCGAGGATGGGTGCGTAAATCGGATGTTATTGCTGGTGACTTGCTACTACTTGGGAAGCCTAGCAATCGTGTTGATTGGAAGTACATGTTTGGTTTAGAATACAACATCACGGGAGGGCCAAATTAAGCAGCTCGTTTACATGATGGAGAATGCGATATTGAACCTACCATCGGGTCAAGAGGAGATGGTTTGGTTGATTGACTTCCATGAGTGGAGTTTGAGTAAATCAATTCCTGTCAAAACGGCTCAAGAAACTGCTAAAGTTTTGCAAAACCACTACCCGGAACGATTGGGCATTGCAATTTTGTACAACCCTCCTCACTATTTTGAAGCTTTCTGGCAGGTGCGTTTCACTTCGATTGTATGATAACGCATGCTAAGTTTCTTAGACCACACCTCTGTCTTTTTATCTACCCAATGGGATAGTACAGCCCTGAGGTCTTCACATCTTGAAGAGGATTTTGAGCTCACGCTTTAAGTACTACTGATCCATGACGGTATCGGTGAAACATTTATTGGTGTAGCTTTTTTCTGCATTGCATTTCAATTCCTATGTACATATTATTCAAAATAGCATTTAATGAGTTCTCTGCATTTACTTTTATTGTAAACCCTAGCGGCTCTATTGTAATAGCTTGGCATCTCACCTCCTCTGCCGCCGCACCACTTAAAGTTGCCAATATCACAGTACACTATGCCATCATAGATTATCTTAATGCTCTCTCAGAAATTACACACCGATGAATCAGCATCCTTAGTCACACTCCTATGCAGAGTAACCAATATCTGACCTTAACAATCGAGAGTAGTTAAAACATCGAGGTTTGACTTTACATTGGTAAAAATACGGCTATCTGACAACAGATCGTGAAGCCATTCTTGGATCCAAGGACAGTTAAGAAGGTGAAGTTTGTGTACAGCACGGATGCTGCATCTATGAAACTTGTGAACAGCCTCTTTGATAACAGCCAGCTGGAGGAACTACTTAGAGAGGAAAACTTCAACTTGGAGGAGTACTCAAGACAGATGCGGCAAGATGACGCCAAGTTTGGATTAAGGAGAAAGCTAGCAGATGAACGTCCAGAAGCAGCCTGAGCCATGCTATTGAAGCCTTCTATGTGGGTCCAATGACAACTGCTGCTGCTGCTGCTTCTCCGAGCGAAGTTTTCGTGTTAAAGATGCCAAGCATTGTGAGAAGCTATCCCCTACTGATGGTACATCATATCAACCTAGCACTTCCATTGAACTTTGCAATTGTCCTCCGAAATCTAAATGATCTATTCTTATTTGGTAAAATTGCCGACTTCACACTGAATGTGGCATTCAGTGTTGCATACATGTTAATTTAATCCCTGTCAGAAGAGAATTGTCGCTTCAATATGTTCAATGTTGTCTGTCATGTTGCAAGTACTCTGTCAAATACAAGTATTAATTTCAAAAGACCTAATCCCTTGAAAATATGAATATAACAAAGAGTATATGTTAAAGTATGTGGTGAATATTGTTTTACATACCTGTAAAATGATATAATCATGAACTACATGTTTCTGCTGTACAATTGGTCAAGGATGCATAAAACATGTAATAATAAATGCAAATTTTTATTAAATAAGTGATGAAATTTCAGAGTTTGGTCATTAAGTTTTTTTTTGTTTTGTTTTGTTTTGTTTGTTTGTTTGTTTTTTTCATTGCAAGAAGAAAAAAGTAAAAAAGAGATATTAGATTAATCTGTTGCCTTTTTTTAAAATTACAATTTAAAAATTCAAGTAAATAAAACGCTTCAAGAATCGGTGTTTTATTTATTTTATTATTATTATTATTATTATTATTATTTTGATAATTAAATTTATACTTGATAACTGTACACTTAATTGTCCTTTCATATTTTTATAATATAGTTAATTTTAAAACACATAAAAATAAATCATAATGAAAATAGAGTATTTATATTTCTATTTGAATTTTCTGAACATGAATCGTAGAATTGAAACATTTATACTTTTCACACGTTCTTGTAAAGCACTTAACTCTATGATTATTTTTTTTAATAGGAAGAAATTGAAGTTTGCTGGGCTTGGATTACAAAACATTATTTAGTTGTTTGTTCGAAAAGATATGGAATTATATTTTAGCACAATAAAGAAACAGAACTAATCTAAGAACACTGAGTCCAGCTTATATGGATCAAACATTTTTGAATAAACAGTTTTTTATGAACCTATAAACACTCTTAATGTAACTTATAATTATGTCTAAATTACCCATACAGCACAAATATTATGCTAATCAGAAGATCCAAGTTGTTCTTTGAATAATTTAGCATACATCATCACTACAAATGTATTATACTCTTTATGGTGAAGAATAATGATAGTGAAATAATGATAAAAACTGAATAGCAATCAAAATATTTACACTATTTTTTGGAAATCATGTTTTCATTTTAGCTTGTTTAGTATACTAGTCTTATTATTTTAAAATTGCAACATCAGAATCAAAACTTATTGTGCATTTTTTTACTACTTTCAAAAAACAATTGTTCAAAAGCTATATACTCAATGTTTGTAAAACTTACTGCACACTTCATCAATAAAAGCTAAAAATAAATGTAAAGCAAAGTTGTTAAAGACAAAACATATTGTTTCATAAATGTTTATATTTATGTACAAGAAAACGCACAGATGTGCAAGCATTACTTAAACTGTATCAAAACAACTTAAAAATACTAGAATATTTATTGTGCAATAGAAAAAAAACTAAATGTCATTCCTTACTGAGAATTTGAACAAAACTTTGTGACTTAATTTAAGAAATCTAATTGAAACTATGTCAAAATAAAAATCCTTCAGTGTGATAGGTGATAGTTGATAGAAATTAGATTATATTAACCAATTACTTTACAAGGAAAAATATAAAACAGTTCCTAAATTATTTTAGGTACATCAATGAATTATTTAAATTTTAAATTCCAATTTTTTCCATTATTAAATACCAAATGTGGATATCGAAATAGAATATAACTTAAAAATCATATACCAAAGAAATTTATTAAATGTTCTTTGATAGAAAAATCTCAGGTTTAAATTAAAGACTTCTAATAATTATAAATTTGTACTTTGATGTGAGAAAAATTGATTAGAAGAATAATATTTTGATATATTATGACTATTTTGTTTTTATACTTTGATAATATATGTATGTAGAATATTTGATTTATAAAGTATTTGTATAGTTTACACCATATAGGAAAAATATCATACATATCCCTTAAATATGCTGAAATATCAATAATACCATTGTATTCTTGATTATAGTAAATCTTCTCTTCATTTTGTGATAATAGAAAATCTATCATAAAATGTGATAAAGTATCACTATTCTTTTTTTAGGTGCATCTAAGATTTAAACCTTGTGCCTTGCAAATTTTGGTGCTGCACTTTTTGGTTCTTTTTTAGTACTCTATTTCTTTTGTCGATGTCTGCATGCCACACAAATTTTGCCATAATGGATGGAAAATTAAAATTAATGATTGAAGGTAGGTTATAGTAAGATGATTTGCGTATTGTGAGAGTTTGTTAAAAGTAATTACCAATAATAAGGATCCATGATTTCAATTCTATAAACATCCTTTATTGATTTATCATGGCAAGCTTAGAGGAAAGGAAGGTTAAATTTCATGACTTGTATTGACCCCATAGTAGCAGTGACGGCTTGGTTGCCCAATACTAATCCTATAACATCACCTTCATTGAGAGATGGTTCCTTTTGGAATCATTCCAATGTTTAGATCCCTTAGAAATGTTGAGAGAAGTGGCCCAAGGCAAAGCACTTGCATTCACAAAAGAACAACTTGTATTGTGATTACATTTCAACATATGCTTGTTGTTGTTATGAATATAAAAAATCTACTACTATAATTTCTATAAATTGCTCGTGAAGTGATGAAATATTTGATTAACTTGTCAAACAATGCTTTAGATAAAGGACATTAGTTAGAGTGCTCATTGATTGTCTTAACCATATTGTGACTTCTTAACTATCTTTGTACAACATGAACTAATCCGAAATTGCAAATTGGGTATATCATCTTCACTTTATTTGAAACACAACCAAAAATGGTTTCACCAATGAACTTGGCTCCTTAAAATTATATTAGAGCCAAAAATTAGTGCAACAAAATCTGCACAATACATGATTTGGACTCCAAATGCACCTAAAAAAGAAAGACTAGTAATACCTTAAATTTAATAAAAAATACTCAAATTTAACTGTAGATTTGCTATTATCAAGAATACATAGATATTATTGATATTTCAGCATACTTGAGGGATATATATGATATTTTTCTAAAATTAAATATATATAATTTTTTAATATTTATATTCTAATTCTTGTACTAAAAGATCAAATAATATTTTTGTAATAAAATAATTATGACCTCTATCTTATATGTAAGTTAGAGCATAATGAGGTTTTTTTTTTAAAAAAAAAACCAATGACTAATAATTTATTTATGTGCTTATTAAATAAATATTTAGATTAAATTTTTTAATAATTTAAAATTTTAATAAAATTTACGTTTAAAAATTTTAAACATAAAATAAAATGACATTAAACATCTATTTTATTTTATTTTATTTATTTTTTTAACTTTTTAATTTCATTTTGTATAACACTTTCTTGTAAAAATCAGGAGAAATCATTAAACCAACTTTTGAAGTCAATACAACAAAATTTTGACAAAGTTTGTAATTTTGCAACTGGTGAAAATCTCAAGATTCATTGATATTAATTTTTATTATATTTTCATTCATTCCTTTGTAATATAAGAACACTACTATCAAATAACCATTTATATATATATATATATATATATATATATAACCCACTTTTATTATACTTCATAAGTTTTGAAGACATCTTCACAAGTTTCTATGTGTGACTTGGCCCTTGACAACCACATCCAGCGCCATTTTAGCTGGCCGCCGTTTTTCCACCGTTGAGAAACAGCTTCAAAGATTACGAAGGACGGCGACGTCCGCCGTTTTAAATGAAACCCCGTCACCTTTGCAATTCACAGGCCTGGGACATGTTCGTTACGTTTTCTACAGGAATTCGTTAAGACCTGCACAAGTTCGATGCGTTTTTGATTCCTCACCTTCACTGATTCAGCGAGCTATCGAATCAATGTTCAGTGAGCATCTAAATTGCATTCACGATCCACTGCAGGTCGAATCTTCACATGAAATCAGGTTTTTGATGTGTGTTTGCTGGGCTGGACATGAAACCATCTCATGGATTTTGAGAGAAGGGATGGCAGTGAAGACCGTGTTTTGCTATGCGAGAAGAGTTGGCCGTTCTCGTGGTCATCACTATGGATTCTGCCACTTGGTTTGAATGGTTTGAGTTGTGCAGAAATATGACATTTCGTGACCTTTCGGTGTGTACATTGCAAGTGGGTTTGGATTCTATGAACGACGGAGGAATGGTCAAACTCATTCTTTGTAGGGTTGAGGGGAACATACTGGTGGTGGTGATCGTCACGCCGTGTGGAAAATGGAGCGGGAGCACAATTTCGATGTTGGCAATGTTGTCAGACCCCGTTGTGGTCTATTCCATGCTCTCTCATTTTCCGATGGCTTCTGTGCTGAAGGATTTAGCAGGTCCAGGTGATGGGCACAACCCACCTCACAACCAATGCCGAAGTCCAGTGACGAATCACCCTTTGCCATGGCCTTGTGTCAGAATCGTGTTGATTCAGCTGGATAAACGAGGTTCAGAATTTGTGGAAACACTTCTAAGACTGATGCATTGAGGAGTTAACAAACGGTTTTTCTAGACAAGAGCTTGCTCCCAATATCTTTGGTATAACGCCTTCAGAGAACAGTGCTGTTTGGGCCCTCGAAGTCAATCCAGTGTCGGAAACACGTGCGATCTGTACTGTTTTGGGGGATAAGTTTGGGGGAATGTGAGTGGTTGTGAAGTGTTCAAGAGCGTGTTGTGAGGCTACGTTGTGGTGCTGGTGCTCTTGGGCACTGTCTTGTCCGGCCCTACGATCCCAGTCAATCTATTTGCAGTCAAGTGCAGGGTCTGGTCCAGACGCAATGGGGGGTACTCAATTGTTGCCGATTTCTCTGAAGTTGTCTGCAAAGCTTCAGGCACAACACACGATGCAGAGCATCTTCCACCTGACATTCTTCCATCAAAGGATTCTCAGGGGATTCGACGAGCCGTGTGATGACAATCACTAGAGTTACTGCACCATGGGATCGACATGGCTTCACTGCTCATCGGTTCAGGCTTTTCATCACTGGTAGCGTTGGTTGTAATACTCGGGGGTACACATATTCATCACGTGGTTTCCACATCATACCTGATAT